GAGTGAGTTCCTGGATCCCAGGGCTTTCCTGGGACCTGCTGACTCCAGGCCGAAACTCAGAAGTGTTTTCCAGGTGAGGCAACCTTGGGGGGCCTTGGGGACAGTCAGCACCCTGAAGCAGTGTATCTCACTCAGGAGCATGGTGTCCAATATGGCGGCCACTGCACACATGCTGCCTTTAAGTGAATTAAAAGTAAACAAAATAAATTCAGTGTCTTGGTTTTACAAACCACATTTCAAGTGTCTCATGGTGTCAACATAAGAAACATCCAAACTTGTAGAGTATTTTGTTGGAGAGAATTTTATATAAAGTTTATTTGAGCCAAACTGACAACATATGCTGAGGAGCAAGACCTCAAAGACTCCAGAGAATAAGTTTTGCAGCTTCTTGTATGCAGCTGAAATTCAGGAGTGAATGTACGGAAGATCCCATGGACATGGGAGAGAGCAAGGGGGGATGGAATGACAGGATAATTAGGAAGATCATGTGTTTTCTTAAGGGCAGTTGTGCCTTCAAGTAGTGTTACTTCTGGCCTCTCAAAGGTGTGTTAATCAGATACAATGGACAGGGCTACAGAAGTTACAGGCCTGGGGTGGGACTACCCGCCATGACCTGCCCAGTTAGGAATTTGTGATTTATTACAGCACCACTTTTTTGTCCACAATAGCCTCATGTGTCTGGTGGCTACCACACTGGACAATGTAGATAAAGCGCATGCCCATCACTGCAGAAGGATCTAGTGGGCCGTCTAGGCTAGGTGCCTTCAGAGGAGAATACAAAGAGTCTCTCCGTGATTGAGTCAATAAAGTTGACACAATGAAGAAAGGTTCACGTTTCCCGACTTTGTGGTTCTTCTTCTGTAATGACACCCTCTGTGTGTGGGTCACCTGGACCTCTTCCCATCACCCGGTGGGAATTGTCTCCACCCACACCATGTTCCTGGGGAGTCTCATTATATCCTTTAGAATTACTTAATGTAGTCAGCAAAAATATCATTGAGTCATATACTTTAAAGTGGTAAACCCTATGGGGCATAAATTAGATCTCAATGAAAAGTACTCAGTATAAATTTTGCAAATAAAGCAAAATCACTTATATGTAAGTTTGTCTTTCTTTCACCTGTGGCAAGAAATATCAGTACAGTACCTGCAGAAGTCCTTTTGGAAAGAAAGAATAAATAAAGGCAAGAAATAAAGACATATTTATTTTATTTATTTTTTTAATCCTCACTCAGGGATATTTTTCCACTGATTATTAGAGAGAGTGGAAGAGGAGAGGGAAAGGCAGAGAGAAATATCGATGTGAGGGAAACACATCAATTGGTTGCCTCAAGACTAGGACTCAGGCCAGGGAGAAGCCTGCAACCAAGGTACGTGCCCTTGATCAGAATGGAACCTGGGTACCTTCGATCCTCGGGCTGACACTCTGTCCACTGAACCAAACCAGCTAGGGTGAAATAAAGACATATTTAAATGATCTGTCAGGAGCTGGGAAGGAACTTCGATATTAACTCTACTTACTGTACCCTGTTGTAGTTACATTGGCTTCTCCCGGAAGACACAAGAATTCTGTCAGAGACAATGGACAATGTCCTACTCACGACAACAGAGAGTGACCAGAGTATACAAATTTGCACCTGTCCCCCAAGTCCCAGTTCCCACAGAGGGAGGGAAGAGGCCCAGGGGATGCTAGCACACACAGTAGGTTGCGTTACAGGAGACCGTCCACAAGTGAGGAAATGTGAATGTGTCACATTGGGCAGCAAGCCTCCCTGGCCTTGTCCTGGAGGAATACCTTGTCACTGTTACACAGGACGCTAAACACGTCTACCCGGTGCTCTGGAGGGGCACACTCTCCACCTGCCACGGCTGTTCACTGTACAAACTTCCTTGGACAGAAGGTGGAGGAGAAAACAGTCAGGCCCCACTGCAAGACGAGCAGAAATGCAAGAAACGCATGGAATCTGTCACCAACACCCACAAACAATATTGTAAGAGAGAAACAAGTGAACGATTGAGATAGTAATAGGGAGTGGACGTGTGATCCAGGGAATCACTGCCTTGCTGCAGTGATGACTGACAGTCCTGAGTGTGAGGGCGGATACTTCAGTGTCACAGCAACATGGCCTGCTTTGGAATTTCCAGCTGGAAATCCTTGGGGGCTCCCCACTGCCTCAGGGATGAAACCCCAACTCCCTTGGTGCCCAGCAAGGCCTCATGACCTGCCCTGCTCCTCCCTCTGCAGCTCCTTGGGCAGCAGCGCTGGCCACCACTCTGTGTCTCTCCTGCAATTCCCAAAAGCTTCCAAGCCTCGCCCCTGCGTCTCTGCTTGCAGCCCTCCGTCCTTCACCTGAAAAAGTTACTTCATCACAGAACTTAGAAGACAGAACCTACACAGAACCTAGAGACAGAAGAACTTCGCTGGAGAGAACATGGCAAAAGATCCTGGACAGAACCTGGCTACA